AGTAACCTTGACTCGATATTTGAGGTATCTGGACAACGGTTACCGAAACTTAGTTCTGCCTCAGACCTAGGGCTCAGATATTCCGGCGACTTGAATTTTTCTGAGCAGGCGGCTTACAGCGAAGCTAAGTCACGCAGACTCCTAGGATGCATCATTCGTAACTTTTATAGTACTGAATCAAGGGTCCTACTCCACAGAGTATGCATCCGTCCAATTTTAGAATACTGCTCATTTGTCATAAGCAGCTTTCAAATGGACGATGAGCTAAAAATCGAAGGGTACAACGCCACTTTACATTGAGAACACTAGGAGCTGACTGCAACCTTGACTACGCCTCCAGATGCAACATGCTAGGACTAGAAACTCCCTGGAAGAGACGACTAAGGATGAATCTTGTACTTTGTTAAAAACTACTTTGTAAGCGAATGCACTCATATGGCTCAGGGACTAAAATGATTGTATCGTCCATTTACAGTGTGAGTAATCACAAACAATTAGCTAAAACTGAGTGTTGTAAGACCAGTGTGTGAGGCAATTTCTCCTTCATTAAGTTCTCTCACATCTCGAATAGACTTCCTAAGGAGATACGTACTGCAGGTTCATTACCTGTCCTTCGCTCCTCACTTAATAAGCTCCTCACATATGATGAGCCTATCACTCGTTTGGTCACCATGTATACGTTCTGGGCCAATGAAAACATACCAGGCCCCCTAAAAGTGTAGGGCAAAACTATCATCAATCCCAAGTATTTTTTTCTGAATGGGCCCTAACATTATTGCACGGGGCGTTTGACTGCTATTTCACTGGCTTAGGTTGTGTAGTCAGTAAAGTACACATTGGTAAAGTATATATCACCTTGATGTTGAGTCAGTTCTACCTGCACGTTTACAAATGAACACGGTATATCCAAAGCTTGTACGCATTTTACGCAGGATAATCATAAGAGTCATTTTTATATGCATAAATTAAAGTGTACGTATAGCTCGAGTGTCTCAGAGATAGGAACTTCTCTCTTCCCAATTTCGTCTTGTGTGGTATATCATCCTCCGGTTTCTGCTCTTGCTTTCCTTTTCTCCCTCTCTTTTCAGCTGAAGTTTGAAGAGAAAACCTTGTGCATAATTTTGGCCAAACTTGTCAGCCTACTAATACGCTGCTTCATACATGATACCAGAAATTATTGGAAGAATACTTCATCTGGTCTCCCCGTACTGATTTTCAACTCTCTGAAACGTTCTACAACAGCTTAGATGCAACCGTATACGAAAACCCAACTACAATGAATGATCTAAGGCTTCTGGACGGTCATAATGGCAGCAAAAATCTGGACAAACAACCAAATCTAAGAAATAAACTCACCCAGTGACTCGAATACTTCACCTCATTTGACTCCGTTTTGTAAAAGACAGTTAACAGTCAACATAGCTCCTTGGCAATGCTGTGTGCTCCAATGTGAATTCTGTGTTCAGAACTGCATCACCATTGGATAAGAGTCTTTCAGATGTTTATCTCTTTGTACAGCAACAACTAAACCTTATGGATTACGTCTTTAGTGTTGAGTAAGGTCACTCCACGAGTGGGAAATGCGCGGACTTACGTACTCACGTGGATTATATGGTTATGCTGACACTCACTGTTACCTGAAATTGATGAAGTGAGTTTCCGTTGGCCAACAACACTATAAACATGCTAACTGATGTCAAAATAAACGTTTATTTGAAGGAACACGGAACTATACCTCCAGGTTAACCATCTAGGTCACATGTAACGCAAACGTCAAATGCTGAACGATTTTTGTATCACTTTGTGTAAAAAGAATGGTGAGTGGAGACAACGGAAACTCATAAACAATCTGAATCTATTGTGAAGTGATGTTTTTCCGTTCCTTTCATAACCTGTAGTCACTTTTATTATCATGATAAACCCTGATGGGATACCTTCTGTATCGTTCAGAACAGCTCAACTACTGGAGATTTCCTTACCATTATCAATTTGGTGATGCCTGCAAACTGGCTTCTCTCACGTTAAACTGTTAATTTGAGAACAAAATATTTATTAATTATTCATTAAGTTGATCCCCATAGATCAAGCCAGCCACAGCACGGATCATACGAGTGGCTGCCCTCTGAACTCTTTTCGGAAGGTCTGAGTTACTTTTCAGATGGGGGCTTACCACCTGTGTACAGTTCCCTAGTTCAGGTCTTATTAAGGATGTGTATAAAATGGTGGGCATTTCACCACTTTTTTGTGAACATTCCGCCCAATGTCCACCGTCCTAGAACTAGCTGTGACCAATCAACATTATGCCATGATCTTCGAATCGTAACTCGCTGTGACTCCTGGGTCATTGTAGGGCAGTATCGAAAGTAGAGTCCCGTCAGCATCTTAGGTGTTGCCGTCTGTGTGCCCCGTGTGCAACCTAAAACATTTACCAGTTTGATAGCCATCGCCAACCAGGTAAACCAGGTAAACAAGCTGTTTAGGCCCGTATGAAGTGCCCACATATCCTCGTCATCCCTAATTTCTTTCCAGATGTTTACACCATCAGCGCAAGTAACCACGGCGGATTAAGTGATACCCGATGGTCCATTTATATACAGAAGAAATAGTAGGAAACCTAGCACTGTATCTTGCTGCAAGCCACTCCGTTTATTTCCTGGAGAGTGGAGTGCGGGAAGGACAGCACGGAACCCTATTTAAAGCCCTCAAACGACTATAAGACCGTGCGATGTCCCATTACCCTTAGTGATCTGGCAACATGTGATCACGTGAACGCCATCAGAATATCGGACAGATAATTATGTCTCACTATATATATATATTTCCGGACTACAGATTGCCGAAGCCTTTAGCGCCACCTTCTATACGCAACTCAATACGTCCTCATCAAACCAAAATTACCGACTGTCCGACCGAAATTCAGCACCACCAAGAGCAGGAGAGTTACCTGGAGTAAAGGTAACTCCTGCTATGGTCCTCGGAAAACTGTCAAAGCTCTGCCCAGGGAAGTCACCAGGGTGTGATGACATCCGACCGGCTGTGCTAAAACAATGCGCGGGCTCCTTGTGCGGTTCGCTGTGCAACTTGTTTCAATACTCCTTAGACAATCACATGTTTCCAAAAGAGTGGTAAAGTGTTATTCTGTCCCCCATCTTCAAAGGTGAAGACAGGCAGAACCCAAAATGCTACCGACCCATAGTGGTGTCAAGAGTAAAGGAGAGTCTGGTAGACGACCATCTCAGGGAGTACTTAGAAAAGAGGGGAGCACTTAGTGATGCACTACATGGTTTCAGAAAGGGTAGGTCCTGTTCCTCAAACATTCTGGCGGCAGGTGATAAGTGGACGGCATGCTGGGACTTCCAAATTCCTGTCCACGTTATTTTCCTGGATTCTAATAAGGCCTTCAACACAGTTCCACACACCGTTCTTATTCACAAAATAGAAAGGTTGGGCATCAAGGGACAAGTGCTTTCATGTTTGCGGGACTATCTAGACAGTAGATAATTCTGCACAGAGGCCAACAGAGTTTGCTCGAGTTGAGGGACATAATCATCTGGTGCATCGCAAGGAGCGATTCTGGGTCCGCTGCTATTCCTTCTTTTTGTGAACCACCCCCACTGAATCTCAGCTCCCCTGACCCCGGAACTGTCTTTGAAGTTGCATAAGACCTACATACGACCCCACCCAGAAGAACACAACGTCATTGCACCACAATATCTGAAAAGAGACGTGAACCTCCTGGAGAAAGTCCAAAGGCGAGCTACAAAGGGCGTCGTAGGAATGAGGCAAAACCATATCAGGACAGGCTGAAAGATCTAGGGCTCCTCTCTCTAAGCTACCGCAGATTACATAGTGACTTGATAACGGCATACAAAACACTCAGTAACCCAAGTCATCCGAACAGTGGAATCCTACCGAACGGCCACCATGGCGATCCTCAAGGTAACCCAAGGAGGATCGCTCACCAGAGGGTGAAAACTTGTGTGCGATCACACTTCTTGTCTCTGCTGGTTTGCTGCCACTGGAGCGCATTGCCTGCCGAGATTGCTACTGCTTCGTCTGTTTACAGCCTCAAGAAGAGGTTGGACAGTTACGCAGTGATGCACGGTCTGCGCTCATCCAACTGGGATGTGGACTAAGCTGACACGACCTACTAACTCGGTACGACCAGCCGCTACTGAACACTTTGTAAAACCACTAACACTGAGAACTTGGCTCAACCTTATACTTTCCTGCAGACGTCCCTTCCAGTTACCGTCACCTACTAAAAGAATTACTATATTCCCTCTTCGTTCTATCGTGTTATTTATTATTCTTCCTTCTGACTGTACGCTCCCAAACTTTAACGAAAATGCTCTCCCTATCACCCCGTCCCCATAAACCTACCAATGTTTCTTCTTCAGTGCCGTTTCCTTTGTCCTAATCTTTTTTCTTTTTCTATTTGCCTTTCCCCGCACTTTCTCTCCCTTGACTTCTCTGCACATGTTTTTCATCTGTTTTTTACAACCAGTCCGACTAATTGTCTGCTGGCACGACACTTGAGGGACCCATCTGCACCACAGTCCCCGGGAGGAAGAACAAACAAACAACACCCAACCGCCCGTTGGGCTAACCAGAGCTACAGCAGTCGAGTGGGTAGACCTACTGCATTAGAATCCACCAAAGACCTGGAGCCGTTCCGGAAGACCTAGAAGCGAGCGCGAAGAAATCAGTTGGTTTACACTAGCTAGTTAAAAGATATTGGATATGCAGTTCTCCGGTATCTTACGACGATTTCTTAGTGCATGAAATGATGGCTGGGTGCTGCAGCCTGGATTCGTCACCACAACACGATATCGGGAGCATGTGTGCAGCAAGTGTGAAAAGCAAGTCAGACCTCATAGCTTATGCACCGTAAAATGGTAGTTGCCGCAACCCAAACAGACATAAATACGTATCTTAAGTTTTGTCTGATTGACTTGTAAGCAATATGTAGATATGAGAGGCTTTGTTTAACTCAGTCAAGAAGCTTATGTATTGACTAGCAGCGGTTTGTTCCCTCTAATTAGTTAGTCGTTTTCGCCGTTCCATTCCGTAATTACTGATGTCGGAGGTAGTGTTCTGTCTCGGTTTCTTTATGTTTTAGCCCATTAAAGTCTTGTTAACAGGTGCAGCAGGGCAAATAGGCTATTCCCTTGCGGGGATGGTCGCTCGTGGAGACATGTTTGGACCTCAGCAGGTTTGTCGTGATTCTAAAAACGTAACGACTAAAGGAGGTTATTTTGCATCTCTTCGATATCGAAGCGATGGTTGAATCTTTGAAGGGATTAAAAATGGAACTTCAAGATTGTGCATTTCGACTGTTGAGAGATGTTGTTGTTTCACACTTACCTGAAATAGCTTTTGATCAAGTCGATGTTGCTCTTATGGTTGGTGCAATGCCTAGGAAGGAGGGAATGGAACGCAAAGACCTACTAAATGCAAACGTCAGCATTTTCAAGCAGCAGGGTCGAAGTCTTGATATGTACGCCAAAAAAACTGTGAAAGTGTTAGTTGTGGGTAATCCCGCCAACACAAATGCGTTGGCGATGATGAAAAATGCCCCTTCCATTCCGAAAGAAAATTTCAGTGCGCTCACAAGACTTGACCATAACCGTGCTCAATCATATGTTAGTGTTTTTTTTTTTTTGACTCTACCTGCAGATCGCTCAACGACTGGGTGTCCCATGTGATTCAGTTAAGAATTGTATAGTCTGGGGAAATCATAGCAACACTCAGTTTGTGGATGTTAGTCATGCTGTGGTAAAAAAAAACGGGAAAGAAATTCCTGTATACGATGCAATCAATGATGAGCATTGGATTAAAAATGAGTTCCTAGGTGCTATCCAGAAGCGTGGTGCTGCTGTTATATCGGCCAGGAAGCTAAGCAGTGCTTTTTCTGCAGCGAAAGCTATCACTGATCATATGCATGACTGGTGGTTTGGTACGAAACAGGTATGTCATTTTGCTAAACTTACTCGTGTTAGGGTGAATGGGTATCAATGTCCGTCCTGAGTGACGGTTCTTACGATGCTCCAAAAGATGTCATCTTTAGTTTCCCTGTTCAGATTGAAAATAGACAGTGGAAAATAGTCCAGGGTCTGAAGTTCGATGACTGGGCCAGAAGCAAGTTCTCTATTACTTCTGAGGAGCTACAGGAAGAACGTGTTGCTGCCTGTCTCAATTAAATAAACTGATTTTAGTCGTTGCTGAAGTCATGGAAGTTCTGTATGATTTGATTCTTCCAAAAATTAAGTGACATTGCAGTTGTAATGCAAAACTAATTATTTCACAATGCTGTTTAAAATCCTGACAGTGATATTTTACCGCAAACTCAGGTACCTTGTTTTTACCCAATAATATTTATTAGTCTCGTACTTTTCTGTTCGTTACTTTCTCATATTTTCCTGTCTTCATCTCTTAATCCGCTCCATCTTTCCCTCTGTGTAGTATTGCTGTGGTTTTCATGTTGCCTTTCGTCGCTAAGATGCGTAGTTGTAGCAACTGCATGTGAAGTTTGGTTGTGTCGAAATTAACAGGTTCGGTATCAAGTTTGACAACGTAGAGATAGGTCAACTGAAAGCCTGACACAAGTTGATCAGCTCTAGTTGTCACAATTCACAGCAACAGGCAAAGAAAAAGTGGATAGGGATGCGTCTGAGAAACAGGTGTACGAAGAGAGGGCGAAGTGATCGGTAACCGCGTGAAAATACCCAAGACTTTGTAGATAACAAAGAGTATAAAGGTGCACCATTTTGGCAAACTAAGCCATGTCAGAATCTCCCACATTCGGGTCCTGTTTTTCCGAGTACCACAGTCAGTTTTCAACTTTTATACGCCTCAAACCAATAGATTTCATGTTATGATACCAAGTTTTGGTGTGGCTGCCTAGTCCTTTTCGACCAACATAGTGCGTCAAGAAAACATGTAATGCTGTACGGACAAGTGTTGGTGGTTCACAAGCTTATCGGCGCTTAACCTCACCATCGTATATGGGTAGTGCTGTAAATGTGACGATGATTGTAAACGGAACCTCAGGATATAAATGAATTTCTCAGACACACCCCTCTCTAACAGCATTGTGGAGTACATCCCTATCCGACAAATCAAAGGGAATCCTAATGTCAAGAGAACGATTGTTGACCTGCAACTCATCTGGCGATATCCGTGCATCTGGTGGAACGTAAACACATCAATGCATCCAAGTAAAACTGGCCTGCTCCTTGTGAATCATTTCCTCACGTGTTTTGAAAAGTATGATAGTTAATATTTTCAACGCTACTGGTAACAGACAAATACCCCGATGACTGTCACGTACATTACGTAGACCCTATGTAAAGGTGCGCACAATAATGACCTCATTGCAGAGATGGAACACTGGGTCTGCTATACCTGACTAGAGTTGTTCCTTCAACCTTTAAAAGAACAGGGGGTGAGTTGGGTGCCTTGTGGCGTTGGGTGGGTCGGTGTTAAAAAAAACCTCTCCTTCCTTAAAAATCGATGTGACCAGCAATCTAGACCAGTCTGATGGGAACACTTATGATTCCTTTGTATCAATTCATATCTCGGTCAATACTCAGCAGTTTTTCACTTCGATCCTGCTGCTGTGTATCGGTTGAAGTTGGAACACTAACATCTGCAAACTATTCAGGTTCGAGCGCGAATTGTGTTTGTAGGCTTGCTGACCTCTTCAAAATATTCTATCTATTATTCCCACCATGGACAGGTTACCGGTTGAACGTTTTTTTCTGAGATACCGTAGCACTAATTTCCTTGATAACTCAATCACTGCCGAGGACTACCTAGAGTTGATGCTTTCAAATTTTATTGGTTCGTTGGCATGGAATACCACCATAGATATCAGCAATAGCCTCTTCCATTCGGCTCCTCTTCCCCAATTAAATGTCGAAGTTACTCACTTGTACGTCGATTTATGAACGTTTTGCTTTATGTACCAGTATTTATGCACCCGTCAATCGTACCATTTAGATAGCAGTCAGTCGTCGCTCATATGGAAACACATGTCACAGTCGTTCCCAGGTCGTGCAGATCCATTGGGCTGGGTAGCATAGACTAGTATCCGGCAGATCAGTGCGCTTTCTACTCTACATCTTAATCCCATGCCTACGCCCGTGAGTCGATAAGAATTAACCCTCGGATTTCTGGACACAACTAAGCCGACTTGTTCAGAATTACCACACTGGCCGGATGAAGTCAAATCGGTAGCCATACTTCGGTTTTGTATGGGTGTCCCTGAGACAGTATACATTCAAAACAAAGATCCAATGGTTTTAGTAACTTTCGCCTTTTGTGCCTCAAGGTCAGGTTCGAAAATCGACAGTTCTTATGTGAACTTAGCAAGAGACTAGTAATGGTGTTCTGCTGACTTCAGTCATTAGTGATGGTCTCCAGGTGAAGGTTGGTACTTCGGAGCCTGTTGTTTTCGCTAGTAACAGCTGGGGAAGAGGCATAGAATAGGAAGGCAGATTATGTTTAGGTGCGTTTCGCATACTGCTAGAAATATGTAGGTGGTTGGTACTTCCTGGTTATCTGCGACGTTGAAATTTAGCGTGTACATGAGATACCTAAACGAGAAAGTGTATTAGTTTGTTAGATCGCAAAGTTAAACGGACTCTCATTAAAGCGTGTCTTGGGCTTTTTGGAGGCTTTAGTTTGGATTGACGGATTCTCACTAAAAGAAAAGCTCTTACCGCTGTTACACCAGACCGATAGCTGCTACGTTGACGTGGTAGTCACGTTTATATATCACGATGATCCAACTAGTTATGCTGGTGGGACTTTTGTTCCCTCTAGGTCCTGCCATACGAGGAATGTCTGTTAGATAATGGTTAGACAAAAAGCAGTTACCCCTTAACGTTCTTAACCAATGAGATGATACATGGTGGCTTAACTCAGTGTTTAATGGTAATCCAAAACCACAGGATGTATGTCCAACTACATCTGTCATACTACAGACCTCTTGTCATGGCATCAAAAAGGCCGTAAGTGACCGGTCTCACCCAAATGTCTTGTGGCCTCTACGGCAATAAATGTTTCCTTCTTTCAGGTACCTTAAGAAGAAATAGCCTACCATGTTGTGGGGAGCCGGGAAGTATCAACCGCCCTCGCGCTTCTAGTAGTGCAACAGACCCATAAAATATAACCCATCCTCCGCAACTCTGCCTCCCTCTTTGCCTTCACCTAATACTAATATTCACATATAGCATTACGTCAGGTGACTTTAACGCTCAAGTAGGGAAGTTGAGCCATTGGGAAAAGTATCTACGGAATCCTATGCCAAGGAACCAACAACAGTGATCGTTCGTTTTAATTTCGCTCTGACAACGACTTGTTTCTAGCCAACACTAACATTAGACATAAGAAGAGACACTGTCGCACATGGTGTTCGTCGACATTAAACTGACGATGGACACAGATAACACTGCTACAGACCATCGTTGGAAGGTTGCTGGACTTTCTGGAGCACCAGTGTAGATTCCGACCACGCGCTTTTGCAGGCTCGTGCATATGTGCACCTTACTGGTCGCAGGAAAAAAGCGGTAATAAAGCTTGTCTAGGGTCAATTGGAAGATGAGAATGTGAAGTCTGCTTTTACGAAAGCGGTAGCCAAGCATTTAACTGAACATGACAGCAATGTTCACTCTGAGGAAACCTGACATGACATTAAGTCTGCTGTAGAAACAGCGGTAAAGACGATTGTTAACCTACATTCGAAGGTTTAGAAATGTCATTGGATTTCCGAGACGTCATTCGAACTAATTCGTCGGAGAAGACTGGTTCCAGGTGGCTCTGACCACAACGAAGAGCGAAAGCAACTTAAACTTAACCAAGGGTCTTCGCATCGATCGCGAGCAGTAGTGGGTAGGGAAAGCGAGAGTGTTGGAGAAGGAATCAGCGTTGAGCAACACCCGGAAACTATTTAGGTGTATTTGGAATACCTTCAAGGAGAAGACGATAGTGAGTGAAACCATCACTAAGATGGACGGAACGCTGATAACCTCTCAGAACAGAAGGCCAAAACGTTGGGCAGAACATTTTGAAGCGCAGTTCAGTCTGTCCTCAGCAACGCTTCAGTCGCTCAACATCCAGGCTGGACCTGAATGGGACGTAAATGTCGGTCCTCCAACTCTTGATGTTGAGAAAGGTGTATCGAACCTAAAACGATGGAATGCAGCAGGACTTGAAAGTTCGCCATCTGAAGTTTTCAAGGATGGAGGTAGGGGATTGCTAATTAAAGTAACGGGGGACCAGGCAGTTTATGGGGATCGGAGGTAGTCCGGTCAGACTGGTGTAGTTCACTGATCATCTCAGTTAGTGAGAAAGGGGAGAAATGTCATGACAACCATAGGGGAATTAATTTGATTAATATTGTTTCCAAGATCCTAGGGTCCATAGTCATGCGACCCCTGATTGGAGCTTGAGAACAGAAAACCAGGCAGGTTTCAGACCTTGTCGAAGGTGCATCGATCATATTTTCGCTCTCTGACAGCTGGAATACGGGCATACCTGCCGGCGGTCGGTACTTGGCACATTTCTTGACCTGAGGCAGCATCTGACTCTGTCGACTGTGAGGTTTTGTGGCAACATCTAACTGAAGAGAGTACCGAGCAAGTATATATTGCTTATAAAAGCTGTCTACTCGAACTCACACAGCCATATCAAAGCTTATGAAGAGTTTTCAAGTGAGTTGACAACAACTTATGCTGTTCGCTAGGGATGTCCACTGTCGCCGTTCCTGTTTAAATGTACTAATGGTCATGACCTTAGGTACATCTTACTTCAGAGGGATTGATCTACTCCCTGGAGGTTATCTAATTGACTTGGAATACACAGACGATATTGTCCTGCTAAGTGAAGACGGTGACGAAATTAGGGTTTTGTGAACGCGTTGAACAGAAATATGAGTGTGTTAGGCAGGCTTTCCGCTTGTGTCTGTCAAACGTAAGATGATGCTCCAGAACTGGTCTGCTGTACGTAGTCCCAGCTTAATGATAGGGAGTGAAGTTGTGGAATGTGTCGGCCACCTCACTTGGGAAGTTGCATCGGCTCAGTTACAGAAGGCCCGTTTGGCATTTACCAACTTACATCATATTTGGTACCGAATGGTGAGATATCCGACTACTTACCAAGGGACGAGTATGCTGCACTGCAGTTTGTTCTCTCCCATTATACAGCTGAGACATAGCCGTTAAAGGTGGAAGACATAAAGCGGTTACAGATTCTGATCATATGTATCTTCGTAGTATTGCTCGCGTTTGATGGAATCCCCTTGTGAGCAATGTTGGGGTTAGGTGAAAGGTACAAGGAAAGAAAAGCAAGTCGATCGATAAGGTTCTAAACCTTCTTTGTGTAAGAGGGCCTGAACATTTACTGTGCATGCCGAGCCAGCGCCTACTTCGACATGCAATGCTCGAGGAAGTTGGATTAGGTTTGAAGAGGGTTTAGAGTGGTCATATGGGGGAGGTTGAGGTCCTTGGAACAAAAAGAATGAATGGTTGAGGAGTGATTCTTGACGATATGTTGAATATCAATCACCGTGGCGCAGATGTATTCACTCCCTGATATCTAACTTTCATTTTCACATTATTTTATCTCCTTTGATATTACTCGTTTTCTATCTATCTGTTCTTTTGTACTTCTGTAAAGCATGGCAACTTAAAGCAATGAAGTTGCGTACGAGGTTCTACGTGGATTTTATCAGTCAGTTAGTAACAATGCAAAGCTGATGAAACTTTCCCTATGATGAGATAGTATTTTCTTACTACTGTTTCATCTGATAATACAAATAAATCTATACTGATTATAGACACGTAAAGGATAACAATAATAAATATTAGAATTCCTCAAATGGTGTGGAAATTTGTCAGAAACCGATCAAGTATTCTGATAGTTTCATCACCTCGACCGATAGCTGCTACCTTGACGTGGTGGTCGGGCTTGCATAGCACAATGACCCAACGAGCTATGCTGGTGGGACATTTTTTCCCTTGAGGTCCTACCATACAAAAAGGTTTATTGGATAGTGGTTAGACGAAAAGCAGTTACCGTTGTGATGTAAATTACTACACTATGATGGGGGTCTGAGGGCGAAGTCGTACTGCTGCTAGCTGGATGAGGTGTGACAGCAGTAAGGTGTTTCCGTTGGATGACCACGCTGATGCTGCCTTCTCAGTGGAAGGAGGAATTAGAAAAAGTTGGCCCCAAAATAACACCCCACCATGCCCCACTGTCTGCCGGGCCGGCGGTGTTGGTTTATTTGTCGTTTCTCTTCCACCTTCCGGCCCAAAACAACAAAAAATCAAAATAATCATTCATAAAAGGCTGGGTGTGACAAGCCTCAAGCAGATAGATGTCTGATGGGCTCTGCGGTCACACAAATCTCTTTCAGGTACCTTAAGAAGAAATAACCTTCCACGGTGTGGGTAGCCGGGAAGTATCAACCGCCTTCACAAGTCTGTCAGCGCTCAAGTTTCCTCAGACTGCTATCCACCTCCCCCCATTACCTCCTAATCTTTCTTCACATCTCTCAATTAACAATACTACATCATCTTTAATTTCTCGTAGTTCTGCAGCCTTTGACAACGATCTGGATCGATGGTTTCATAACCATTTGTAGATGATTGAAAGAAAATGTTTTCCTCTACTAGTCATATTTCTATTTTTCTAATTAAATATATCCTGATAACAGAGCGTACATAGTTTAGAAATTGTTAAATATTAAACAGTCAATGTATCTTTAACAATACAATTGCAATTAATTGTTCAAAATGAGAAGTAGACGTTTATTTATTGATAAATGACCTGTAGATATGTGATCAGCGAATTCACGTTCGACTTTTATCACTAAAGATGGTAATAAACAGATAAATATAGTTCTTTTGAACTGTTATCCATAGGCATATCTTAAGAATATAAGAAAAAAAAGTAGTTAGTGTATCTACAAATTCACATGCTCCTATGGAGCTGAGTATTATATTAGATATTGTAAGCCCACCCTCCGAAAACGTATTGTTGAATATTACTCAGTTTAGCTTACTAAAGGCAAGCGTAAAAAAACAACTTCATCCAGATCAACCTAGGACCAGACATTACTGCGTAATGTTCCGAGTTGCCACACCTCATATCAGTACACCAAGTAAAAAGGCAGTGAGGCGCAAGATGAAGATAGGAAAATTCAGTCAAAAGAAGTATAAAGTACAAGAAGAAAGAAAGGGAGAATGAGAAAATGGTGAGGATTGGTATAATGTTACGATGAGGATAATGTGTGTATACGTCTGCGCCACTGACATCGCTCTCAGCCATATCACCTAGAGTCAGTCTCCAACCACTGGTTCCCCTTGTCCACCGACCCCAACCACCTAGTCTGCATCGACCCACATGGCTCAAACCAACAGTCAGAGACTTCATACATTGGTGCCATGTTTTAGTCTGGCCACCTCGGGCCTTTTTCCAGCCTGGACCTACTTCGACCAACATTGTGTGACGAGGCAATCGGTGACTAGGCATACGTAGTACGTGTCCCAACCATCTCAGTCGATGAAGGTTCATAACCTCGTCTACTGATTTACCTCTACTCCCTAAAACTCTATACCTGACTTGTGCATTACTCACATGGTGACACCACGGAATACGGCCTGTACTACGAAGGCAACGGTGGTCAAACACCTGAAGCCTTCTCATATCTTTTACCTTCAATGGCCATGTTTCACAGCCATACAGTAGAACAGAGCGGACTGTTGTGCATTACACGTGACCCTTAGTAGACAATCGGACATCACGGTGGCACTATAGGTGGCATAAGTTGGTGAAAGCCGGCCGAGCCTTTTGCATTCGTGCAGGGATTTCATCGGCAACTGACCCACCAGGGTTGATCCTACTTCCCAGGTAAGTGAAGTGGTCAATACACTCAACCACTTGTGACCCAGTGGCTTAATGGATTACGTTCTGGCGTTTGAATCGAAGAGTACTGGATCCGAGCCTCGCATTGGGGTCCGGGTACGTTTAGCTGACGAGTCCCGAATAGGACGAAACGAGCATCATGGATTCCTCGGCTAGTCACCAAGACCAATGGAGTATAAGTGTAATTGACCAGTGACAATAGTCAACTAATTCTCCTATTGATTTTTTTAAACCTAACAATAAAAGTTGGTTAGAGTTGTTGACAATCAAAGTTTTTTATTCTTCGCCAATAAAATGATATGCATATCAGTAATCGAAGTCAGTGATATCGCTTTTTTGTCGGTCAAATTTATCTAACCTGGTCACTAAGCTTTTTGGTTGCATTTAACGCAAAAGTGCTATAAAAAAGACAGTTGAACTAACTTCACCTTTATTACGATATTTCACATCGTTGATGCTTACAGAATTTGTTTATAGTAGTTGCATTCTTGCTTAAATTATGAGTCTAAGATAAACCATTATAATGACAGAGAGCTAACGTCAAATGGGCTGATGGCTGACGAAATCTCAGCTGGGATACGGAGGGCCCATTTGGGACTTGCCAACTTGCGTCATCTAGGGCGATGATTGGCGAAATATTTCAATATCTGTCAAAGGAAAAGTATTCTCCACTATGGTTCGTTCTATCCTGTTGTACGGCTGTGAGACATGGTCGTTGAAAGTAGAAGAAATGAAGTGGTTACACGTTTTTGAGCATTGATGCCTTTAGAGCATTGTGAACCTTCATCGACTGAGGTGCCTCATACACTTGCTGTACATACCAAGCCACTTTCTACCTCTAAATACGATGCTAGAGGAGGCTGGACTAGGTTGAATAAAGGCCTAGTGTGGCCAGATCAAAAATGACAGCAATACATGAAGTCCCTGACTGTTGGTTTGAGCCGAGTGGGTAGAAGTAAATTACCTGACTTGGCTCCTTGAGACGATAGAAGTCAGTGGTTATGAACTGACTTTGTGACATGGTTGAAAATGAGTTACAATGGCACAGCTGTTTCCGTCTTTTGAAGTCGTCTAAAGCTTCAATATTTACACTTACCTTTATCTTCAAGTTGTTTTTTCTCTCACATAACTTTATCTACTTTGACATCAGTGTGGCACCTTAAACCAATGGAGTTGTGTGCCAGGTTCTATGTTGATTTTATCTAAGTTGCAACTCGGTAGCTATTTTGTGTATCCTTTAACCATTCATCATGATTAATATACCGTAAGTGGAAAATGATGATTACTAAAGATTATCATTTTGACTATCTGAGATGACTGTGGTGTTTGGCAGATTAGTATTCATGCTGGGTGATGATTGAAGGTGAAATGAAAATTTGGACTGCGGATGGATTCGAACCAGCGACCGCCGGGTTTCCGACCCGATACTCTACCAACTAATAGTATCAATACTAGTCTGGCAAACTACGGCTATCTCAGATGGGAGTCAAGATAATAATCAATATAGTGCTCCCCCTTTCTAATTCAGTTAGATTTGGATTGGGATGAGTAGTCCTGACTAGGCAGCCAGTATAAGTACGATCGAGCGACGGTAACGCGTTACTAATTCATATGGTAGTCGGCAAAACCCACGGTGGTAGAAGCAAAATTAAAATTTGGTCAGAAGTTGGACCTCATAGCTCAGTTGGTAGAGCGTCGGGTCGGGGGGCTTCATAAGCTGTTTACTAGAGAGTGTGCAAAGGCAGTCAGGGTATAATGAAAATTTGTGACCTTTCCTGAGTTGACTTGTCTGCTTGCCTGTATCTATGGTATGGGTTGCAGGTCACTAATGAGTCTCCCTAGTGACTGCACCAGCGGTTGTTATCACAAATTCAAGGCGATGAAGCTTTTACCATCCCTCCTGGCTGAAGAATGGATCTTCGGAAGCAGTCGCCAATTCACCCCTAAAACTGGCCAGTTGTCTTTTTACACGACGCAGGCAGTAAGGGCTGATTTACTTTGGGTGCCATGTCATTAACAGAGATGACAGGGGGGGGGGTTGGTATTGGTCGAGGGATGGGTATGAAATGTGGCCTGCCTTAGTGGGATAACCCAAGTTGGGGACTTTATGCCGTTCCAGCCAAGAAGACATGGGTAGATACCCGTAACTCTTAAGCCTTCTCCATGAGTAGGAGTATATGGCCTGTTGCGTACACCATTTTCATCGACATGCGCCTTATTAGAAGCCATCCTTATGGTCGGCGACGTTCGGTTAACCTGGGAAACTGTCAAGACCTAGAAAATCAAAATAGTCATGGCGTCAAAGTGAAGAAGCTCTGCATGGCATGGTTAAGTGCCGTTGGCGTTTTTACTGCTGACCAATAGCACCGGAGATAGCAAGTGCACCGGTAACTACGGGTTGATCACAGTTACGTAGTGACGGGGAACCTCTAAATGACCCACTAGATTATCAATCAGTCCACCATCGAAATTGGCTCAGGGGTAAACGCGGTTGACGAGATCCATATGCAAAAAGCAGTGGTGTGGAGCTTCAAAACGGGGAAGGTTTAGCTAGCCATGAGGATTCCACTCAGTCCCCGTGAACAGTGTGACCGAAGGGTAAGGGAATCCAGCTTGCTAATTCCAGTAGTCACTTGTTGAAACAGTTGTTAAGGACAAGTGAGGTTTATTTTGCGAATGTTACTGATATTCTTTTCGGAATGCCGGTTTCGTTAGCCCTATCCTTGACTGTATATCATTAACCTGGGAGAAACAATATAGTGTGAGAGAGATAATCTTCCGGGAACGTGAGTTATATCTGATCTGCAAGACTTTGGACACTCAGTGAGAAGCATGCCCTTCATGTCATCTCACAGGGAGGTGAGTGCAGTCAACGATTACCGAGTGAATATGGATGCATCGAAGTCTGACAGTGTGGAGGGTTTTGATATTGCACTGATCAATTATGAGGAGGCGTTAACAGAGTTCTCTGGCAGGAGTGCTAGTTTTCATATGTAAGTGTTACTTGAATGTTTCCTGATCAGCGATGGGACCGTTCCACCAGGTTCTTGAAAATAAAATCCATGAAGCCAAGTAATCCGGCCTGAAGCGCCGAACTGAACCGAAAATTGAAGTAAAATTCTATCTTACCATGCTATTCATTACATAGTGTTGAATGAAAGAAACCCACTATGCTAGATGTAATCTAGGTATTTTTGATACATACACAAATGTTATCATTGTGAAAGCATAACCTACGCTTTTAGAGTTTACATCGTCTCTCGACTTTTCAGTATTGATTTTGGACAGTATCCTTCTTCTCCAAATGTATTTTTAACTCGATACCAGTTCCCTTTCTTTTCAATCACTTCCAACCATTCTCCTTTTTCAACTGTCAATTCTCGTTCAGATTTCGCTTGAAATGATTCAATAACTTGAACAATGCTAAATAAAAGTGTAGGGATTAAAAAAGGAGGTGCTAGTATTGTATACAATAAAGAAATCATATAAAACGGAGAATGATTGACTTAAAAGTGATTTATACATCATTTGATTGTAATTGCTGAAGTGTTTAGACCATATTCGACTGCCTACTAAAGGATGCGTATACTGTACTACAGTTTGTTCTGTTATGTCATTGTGAGAAGACATGAAGCAGTTGCAGATTTTTGACCACAGGTCCCTTCGTAGCATCACTCGCATGTGACGGAACCATCATATGAGTAATGTAGAGGTCAGGCAAAAGGTATTAGACAAGGAAAGCAAGTCGACTGACGAGGTCATGAATCTTCATCGGCTGAGGTGCCAAGCTACTGCCTATCTCGAAATGCTACGCTAGAGGAAGCTGGATTAGGTTAGAAGAAAGCTCAATGTGGCCAGACTAAGAAGTGATGCCAACCTATAAGGTCTCTTACTATTGGTCTGAGTCGTGTAGGAAGGTGTAGACTACCTGACTAAGGTCCCTGAGACGATAGGAATCAGTGGTTGTGAAGTGACCCTTGGTGACATAGCTGAAAATGGGTCACGGTGGTGCAGATGTATTCACTCTTCGATGTCTTATAAAGCTTAAATGTCTTGATTTATCTTCATTTTTTAATTCTTTACCTCCCCATACACTTTTGTTTTCTTTGATATCAGTCGTTTCCTACCCATCCGTTCTTTGCATACTACTATGAAGTGTGGCAACTTGAACTGATGCAGTTGTAAGGTATGTTCCATGTGGATTTTATCTGTTTGTTTGTCTGTCTTGATGGATCAGCCTTGCGGTCAGGGACTTCATGGATGAGTACCATGTCTAGATCTGATCGCCTTTCTTCCAAATTAATTCTACCTCGGTTGAAATAATGCCTTAAGGTATTTGGTCACTTCACATAGACACCAAACGTCCCAGCCACTATAATCAGTGGGCTTTTACTACATCATCATCTGATCTGCCTTTAATCCCTAATATTGGATGCCTAAATTCACCATTGCTTACTTTATAACTCCATCACGCTAACAGTGCTTTGGAAACACTTATGACCATGACTCTGTTGCCTCTTGATATCTACTTTTGACAACCATGTCTAACAGCTGTACAACAGGATAATAAACTACTTGCCTATGTTTTCATTCGTTGATAGACAAGGAGATATCTCACACATGACAAATTACAAACCGGCTTCTTACGTCGGAGATGAGGTTTGATGCAACTTTCCACGAATATGAAATCATAAATTTTGAAAAGAATAAGTCCTTTTTATGAATTCAGATAGTGTAATGAGAAGTTTATCTGAACAATGTATTGCACGAATACATCACATGGTTTAGATAAACTTCGTATTCTAATTACTCCGCTTTATCCTCTACTGTTAAACTATAAGTCAGTGGATAGCAGCCTTGGAACAGCATCTAACACTTCACATTTAAGAAACTTATGCCAAATCTACAATGAATTGAGAAGTTTCTGTATTTCGTCATCATCTTTGCTTGACATGATTGTGTTGAGTATATTAATCAATTGTCTTCTAGGCGGCGAATTATTATTATTTGTCCGTTGGGTTCCTACTGGAACATACGGCTTCAGTAGCACGTCTCCATTCCACTCTCTACTCTACAGTCTTTCCAACTTGGCTCCACAATTGCTCAAAAGCTCTCATTTATTCCTCACACCATCTCCTCCATGTCACCCTCACCTCCGACACCCAACTCATCGTTTCCTATCTGGGTTCCATTCCAGGGTCTGCCTGGAGTGGCGCGTGATGTCCCCGAATAGTCTTCTCAGTGTATGCCCAATACAGTCCATCTCCACTTCCTTCCAGTACATATTTGTTGAGCGATAGCTTCTTGCTATGTTGGTTCGTTGCCAGAGTTCCTTGTTGCTTATTCCTATTATTCTGGCCATCTGATCTTCAGTATCGAGCTAGTTTAGACAGTTGTTGATGTATGTTTGCAGTTTGTTGGAAATACCTTTTGTAGGGCATCAAGTTTCTGAACCATATAGAAGCACTGACTTGACTGACGTTGGTGTTAAAAATCCGGATGTTGTTCACGCTTTATGCTGAGTGCAGATCTACACACTGGTTTCAGGTTAATGGACGCCCGTCTTGCTGTCTTTTCGATCCTGGCTGCTTTGACGTTTTCGTCTGTGCCGCCTGTAGTTGAAACAGTGCTGCCTAGGTAGGTAGATGAAAAAGACAACTTCCTTTAGATTTATCCCGTTCATGGTGATTGGTGCTTGTTGTTGCTGTTGGTTGGTTATCTTCATCACCTGTGTCTTCTCTGTGTTCACCTGGAGGAAGTCCTGTCTTCGCTGCCTCTTCTGTCAACTCTTTAGTTTTCACCTGTAGATCAAATTTATGTGACATTATACACAAGTCATCATTGGCGGCGAAATCCAAATACCCCTCTTCTCGCTCCTCACTGTTTGTTGCATGATGTAGTCGACCACAATCAGCAATATTATGGGTGATTGTAGACAGTATGGTTTTACTCCTGTCTTCACTTCAAAGGCATCACTGAGCTTCCCATTGTGAATTATTTGTCATGTGGCGTCTTCATACAGTTATTGAATGAGATTGATAAAAGTTTGGGGTATTCTGTAGTGTTGAAGCAGTTGCCAAATTACTTGTCGGTCGATGCTGTTGAAGGCGGTGAAGGTAAGCACGACCACATTTAGTAGTAGTACATGTACAAAAAAGTTAAACCAATACCCCGATTTTGGCTATCCTTGGCGGGCATCACCAGTTGTCGTTATATCATAAATTCGAGTAGAAAGCCTTTATTAACAGAACGTTCTAACTTGCTTTTACCTTATTAGTTGGATCCATACGCAACGCCTCAGTTGACTGAATCAAATGGCACTTCCAAACCATGATGTGTATTCTGTCTGGAGGTTTGTAGAGGTTTCTTTGTTGAATGTAAGTCATGGGCTAACATCGGTTGGAGGAACATCTAGCACTTATTGGTGACTAGCTTCGAGAGGTGATTTCTAAAGTTCTGATATGAAGTCATGACCAGTGGAGTCAACCAAGCGGAACATGAAGACAGTTACTCAACAATGACATTGGGTGACGGTCGCGATGTATCATGAACTGATAGAAGTAGGAAATATGGATCAGTGGCTAGCTCAATGGTAACGTGCTGGCCACGGAACCTGAAGGTCCTGGATTCGATCTTTGGTGGAGTGGGGTCATGGGTGCGCAGTGGCTAGTAGTCCCATACTGGGAGGAAACAGGTTTCCAGTGTTCTGTGGTTTCAAATGTTCCTCCAACTGATGTCAGCCCATGATGAATTCCAACCTAAAATCATGATATGCTATTAGAACTAGATATCAATAAGTATGGACTATGGTAAGCAGTTTATTTTTATTTTTTTTATATTTTTTCGTGCTTTGAGGTTTCTTTAGCGATTGGGTTGGTTTTACGGGGTAAGGTTGCTAGCCCTATGCCCGAACTTCCTCCTTTACCCAGGCTTAAGACCGGCTAGTAACTAGTATAATAGGTGACAGCTTCGACCGAGAAGTAATTTGGAAACTGCTTCAACACTACCGAGTGCCAGAAACCTTTATCAACCTTATCCAACAGCAGCTTTATGCTATATGATGCTACATGCCAAGTGATTCACAATGGAAAGCTCAGTGATGCCTATGAAGTGAAGACAGGAGTAAGACAGGGCTGGCGCCTACTAATCACAGGTGATCTTCCTGATTGTGGTCGACAGGATCAAGCAACAAACAGTGAGGAGCAAAAAGAGGAGCATACGCTGTTTGACCAATGGAAAGACCCTAGGAGAAGATTTGGATTTCGCCGCCAATGATGACTTGTGTATAATGTCTTGTCGCACAAACTCGAAGATGTACAGGCGAAAACTAACAGTTTGGCAAGAAAGGCGAAGCGACGCAGCGAAAACGGGACTTCCTCCAGGTGAACACAGAGAAGACACAGGTGATGAAGATAACCAACCAACAGCAACAACAAGCACCAATCACCATGAACGGGATAAATCTAAAGGAAGTTGTCTTTTTCATCTACCTACCTAGGCAGCACTGTTTCAACTACAGGCGGCACAGACGAAAACGTCAAAGCAGCCAGGATCGAAAAGACAGCAAGACGGGCGTCCATTAACCTGAAACCAGTGTGTAGATCTGCACTCAGCATAAAGCGTGAACAACATCCGGATTTTTAACACCAACGTCAGTCAAGTCAGTGCTTCTATATGGTTCAGAAACTTGATGCCCTACAAAAGGTATTTCCAACAAACTGCAAACATACATCAACAACTGTCTAAACTAGCTCGATACTGAAGATCAGATGGCCAGAATAATAGGAATAAGCAACAAGGAACTCTGGCAACGAACCAACATAGCAAGAAGCTATCGCTCAACAAATATGTACTGGAAGGAAGTGGAGATGGACTGTATTGGGCATACACTGAGAAGACTATTCGGGGACATCACGCGCCACTCCAGGCAGACCCTTGAATGGAACCCAGATAGGAAACGATGAGTTGGGCGTCGGAGGTGAGGGTGACATGGAGGAGATGGTGTGAGGAATAAATGAGAGCTTGTTGGCTGTTGTGGAGCCAAGTTGGAAAGACTGTAGAGTAGAGAGTGGAATGGAGACGTGCTACTGAAGCCGTATGTTCCACTAGAAACACAAAGAACAAATAGTGATAATGATAAGTGGAAATAGTGATGTAGACCAATGAGGCAGGAGTGAACGAGTCAAATCCTTAGTTATTTCAACCAATAATTCTCGACCGCCGTCTTCGAAGACTTCTACGGAGTAGTAATCAGATTTTAGCAGCTTTACGTTTAAGGTAGAATATATTCTGATAAGTTAACAATCACTCAATAAAGTTATCACATTAACTTATACTACTACATATAAATGTGTAATATGATGTATGTCAGTAGCTGATTGATATCACTCACTTTTTTTAGATCTTATTGATCGATTTGTATCGAAAGCACTGCCTGTTGGAATCATATATCTTCTCTGAAAGAAAAGTTAAGAATATGGAAATAGTGGAAAATATTAATATCTTTTAAAATAATATTCTTTCACGATTAAGAGATATACATATTGTGTGTTTGAAGTTAGTCATGATAAGATTAGGTTAGGAAAATTTTTAATATAACTGAATCTGGTACCAGTCGATAATGTTTTTGACTGTTAACTTGAACTGCATATGAAGGGTATAAGCTGTGAAATTTTGGTTCCTATAGACAATAGGAATAGATGGTTACAGATTCTTGATGATATATCTCAAATTATTCACAATAGCACAGATATATATACTCGCTTTTTGAGTCTTCAAAATTTAGAATGTTTTCATAAACCTTCCTTCATATGTCAAGTCTTTCAATTCTTAAGTTCTTTCGTCTACTTTAATTCCACTTTTCCAACAACTACCTACGCTGGCTCGATATTGAAGATCAGATGGCCAGAATAATAGGAATAAGCAACAAGGAACTCTGGCAACGAACCAACATAGCAAGAAGCTATCGCTCAACAAATATGTACTGGAAGGAAGTGGAGATGGACTGTATTGGGCATACACTGAGAAGACTATTCGGGGACATCATGCGCCACGCCAGGCAGACCCTGGAATGGACCCCAGATAGGAAACGATGAGTTGGGCGTCGGAGGTGAGGGTGACATGGAGGAGATGGTGTGAGGAATAAATGAGAGCTTGTTGGCTGTTGTGGAGCCAAGTTGAAAAGATTGCAGAGTAGAGAGTGGAATGGAGACGTGCTACTGAAGCCGTATGTTCCAGTAGGAACCCAACGGACAAATAATAATAATAATCTACATATCTGAGCTAAATACATGGTTTGGTGGTGTTAGGAAGGACGATTGATTCAGTGTGAGATATGTGTAGGTTTGCAACTGCAGGGGAACACCGGAGAACCCATGACTACTCCATTAGTTTGTTTTTATAGTTTTCCTCTAAACGTGGAGTGTCAACTTTAAACAAACTTTCAGTGCTTTCATGATGAGACTGGAGTTCAATGGAGATCTGTCTGTCAACATGTCATCATATTGTAGCAATTCACCTATGAACTCAGAACATTTTTCAATGGGAATACTAGTATACAGTGAAACTGTAATTATTGTTATAAGGTACGTCTACATTTTGACTGAATTTGACTGTTTCACTGTTGCTATAGCGTAATTAGAAGACGAAGTTTATCTGAACAATATGATTGGTGTATATGAGCAATACATTTCGAAATAATTTAATCACACATTTACTTGTCAAGTTAATTTATATTAAACCAAAGAGTGGGAGGACAAATACAACAATTAAGATAATAAGCAGGGGATCCAAACCAAGAAAATGAGAACGAGAAGGAGTAATGACATAGTTGATCCTAATTTTGGATATGCCTTCCACAAATCTCAGTTCAGCATGCGTCCCTAACTGTTTCTATAAAAAACTTTGAAAGGTGTTTAAATATTAATTTCCTTACCTGTTACTATGATATGTGTAGCTATTGATGATGTTTTACATAGTTACACTTAATTTCATGATTCCTTGTCTGTTTTCCAACTCCAAGCCCAAATGTGTATTACTTAACTTCCTTTAGTAATTTCATATATTTTACCCCCTAACCGGAAATAATTTTGGAACGTTCTGTCCATTGTAACCTACATTCACGAATATATAGCTCAGTAAATGATTTCGTCGAAAAGAAGAATTTCTCTTCGCTACAAACATGAAAATGCAAGTGGTGAACTACTATTCTTTGACTGTTTAGTTATCGATTTATCGTAAACCAACATATTCAAATCGATATTTGGTTTCAACTCAGCACATTCAATCAGTGCTAAACTTTCGCCTGGTCGGAACTTATTCAGGAGAGCCACAAAGCTGATTACAAATGAAGATGATAGGCAGAAAGAAGTTAGAAACATTTAGTAACTACTCTGAAAATGTCATCCAAAAGATTCGGAGACACGAGCAGAGGAAATTCAAGTAACAATTCCTGGTTTTGCACAGTAGTTCTGCTATTCAGCCAAGGTACAAATGAACAGCTACAAAGAATCTTAAGAAAGTACCGAATTAGACCCTTTTAGAAGATAACCAACACTCTCCTCTTAGAAGATCAAAGTCCTTTTACCTCCACACAGAATTGAGTCTACAAAATTAAGCTATGTAGATTGTGACGCCTATTATATTCGGGAATGATCCTAGGAGATCCTCATTCGAGCTAAACAACATACAAGTTACTCAAAACGACCGTCAAATAATCTTATAAAACTAGAGAATTTACAAATCAAGTCGACAATCGCATTTCACGCCATCTATCATATTGAAAATATTAAAATCATTCACAAAGGCTTTTCAAACTATAGAGAAAGAAGAATAGGTGAAGTATTTCACATTATATTGAATCGTAATGAAGTCCACATACGTAAGGAAGGTCTATCTGTTTAACCAACAGCACATCATAAACAATTATCAGAACAAAAGTATATATACACACACACACAATATAAACTAAATTTGTCATCTATCACTTTCACACCCAGTCACCTATGCACACACATATTCACATCACCTTGAACTCCAGACTAATAATAGATAAGAAAGATAAATTGTGAACGCTTCCTGGTCAACATAACAATGACATTTATACTGGATGAGTATTGAAGGTAAATTAAAAAAGTTGAACTGCGGATGGATTCAAACCAGCGACCACTGGGTTTCTAGCCGGATACTCTACCAACTGGTAACATCAATAATAGTCTGCCAAACTACGACTATCTCAGATAATCAAATGATGATGACATTTGTGTTCATACTATTATCCTGTATAGATAATGTGATCTAATTTGTTACCATTTATTATTTAAACAATCGATAACTTGTACAAGTTTTATTCTCTGAAGAAGAGATTTCCCATGAAGTCATGAAACATCAGAAATTTATTTTTCTACTTCATTGGGATATTACAAATATATTTTACTTATATGGTGAAGAATGTTTTCAGTTGAATGAGATAAGATTGTTAAGTATCTTCAGTCAGATTTATGTTGGCTATCCTTTCATTATTACCGAGTTTGTTATAATTACAATAATTTTACCTCACCAATTTATCACTCCACATGATTATATGACTTCTCCTGGTGATTTTTAAAGTTATTTCACTCAACTGTGAATATCAATCGTCTTGTATTATATGATGCGTCTAGATTTTGAACATATTTTATTTCCTCCTTTTGTGTACTATAGTTTGTAATGTTGAAATGATGGAGAATGTTTGTAGCTGAAGAGGATAATCTTGGTTGTGTTGTGTTCACTGAGCTGTATTGAGTGGTGTAATTGTGAAGCTTTCATTGTCTTTTCGTGACAATATCATTAGCTTCAACTACAGTATGTAGGGAGTTTTAGCCAATAGAATCAATACCAGAAAATTGGAAAAACAAGTTTACACGAAATTAACAGATACTGATAAAATCGTCAACTACAGTAGCAGCAACCCAACAACGCACAAAATTAGTTGCATGAAGACTCTATTCAAAAGAGCAAAAACACACTACAGTAAAGCAACTTCATGGAGAAGCGAAGAAAATCACTTGATGTATATCTCAAAGAACAGCGGTTATCCACGAAACTGTGTAAATAGATGCCGATCATGTTCATCATCAACTACAAAGTTTTCGACAGAAATTGAAAAATAGGTCACTCTATCGTACATAAAGAAATATATCAGAGATCAGAACAAGATTACTGAGATTACTTGGAATTGGTGTAGCGCCTTATAAACCAACAAATTACCTTGAAACCATATAGTGCAGACCAAAGGACGCAACACCCAAGAAAAGAAACCAAATATCATTTATAAAATCAATTGCAACAATTCGATCAGTCCTCTTCACCCTTGTATACATGTACACCAATTAGCTATCAAGCGTCACAACATCACTTCATCGCTTCTCATTTCAATGCACGTGGATAACGACTGTTGACATGAATTCAATTTCGATAATGTAGAAATTTTGGACGGAGAGAGGAAACACAAAGAATATCCGAGAATTCCTAGAAAAATTGGCATTTTGGTCTGTCAGCAGTCGATAAATGTATAGACATAGACCCAATCTATCAACCAATGAGAAAAGTGATAAACGACAGATAGGTCAGAGGTCAAGCAAAGAAACAGCCAACAAGAAAATCTATGTAGTTAATGATACGACAATCAGAGGAAACAACCAATCACACACAAATCAATTCGTTAGGGCAAGCTGTTGAATCACTCATGGAGAGATACTGACAGATCACTTCATACTGAGGTTAGTGTTGATGATGCTGTCTAGAAAGATAACGAAGTCTCCACGATTTAACCACCCAGCTCATAGAAGGCAACACAACCAATCTACAAATATTCTCTTTCTTTTTTGTATTCTGAATTGTGATGTTTTTCAGCTATACTATCTACATGTTATATCAGGCAAAGTGAGGAGTGTTCACGAATAACTGAGACAAGATGAGAAATAAGTAGAAGCGATTACGTAATCGCATGAAAAATGGGTGAACGAACTCGGTAATAAATAGAATCGTCAATTTGAAAAATGATTTACAAATCTCACGGTTTATATTGATATTTCTCACAGTTGGCTGATTTTCCAGCTGCCAAAATGTGGTACCAGTCAATAGGCTTTCGCCAGCCAGATCAGAGTGAGTAGTTGAAAAACTTGTTTCAAGTATACCACTTCATACATATCAGCTAGTCAGATTCAGTTGATCAGGTCTAATTCGACTCTATGATCTGAATTTGTCTGGGTACACTGCTAATAATATCGACCTTAAAAGAGCGGACTGGCCATCCGGCGTTTAGATCGCTATAATCCGTCTGGCGAAATCTGGAGAGCGATCTGAGCGGTGCCTATTTACTCAAGTTGTTCGATAGTAGTTTGAATATGCCAGTAATAAAACGATAGTCACTATGAGTATAAATGAAGACAGTTACCAACCTATTGAGTGTTTTTGC